TGGGAACACGGAGCAGCTTCTACCGTAGGACGAATGGGCGGGCCCATCCGGGCAAGTATCATAGACAATTTTACTCACTTGACAATTTTTTACTTAAAAAAACCTTAGCCCTATTCTAAGCGCCCGAGACTACAGAGCTTCATATCTAGCATTACTTAGTCTTTTTTATGTCAGACGGTGGCAAATGAGCTGGCAGTTCACCTGATGTGAAAAGATAACCGCTCCCATTGACATTTGCAACACCTGTAGAGAGTTGCATGCGTCGCCACTTTTTAATAACGTGGATCCCGGCTACCTCACTTCCCAGACGAAACGCATAAGCATAACACTTCCACTTCACGCCGGTCTCACAGAAGACGTGTCGTGGTATTTTTTAACGTGGGGCAAATGCCTAAGCAAACCTCTTGGGGCAAGGGCGGGTTATGATGGACTCGAGTCCGTGGAACACCATGGGGAGTATATGCCGGCAGGGTCAAGGGAACGCTTTTGCACACTTCCGCGACCCTGCTAGCGCTGGCCGCCTCAGCAGCCTCTCTTCGAGGGGAGTAACTCCCTTTTTCTCTAGGTAAGGCACACTGGATCATTCGGCGTGCCTTCCAACTCGGCCCCTTTTACAACGGCCAACGAACTCCCCCGAGTTCGCTGGCTCTGACCATGGGAGCCAGGAGGACTATTGCCAACAAGCAGCGAGCCTCTCAGCACCTAGCGGTGGACTCACCACATCATCATCATCATCATCATTTCAGCCTGTTTGAGTCCACTGCTGAACATAGGCCTCCCCCATAGACTGCCATGAAGTACGATCCTGAGCCACCTGCATCCATCGACTTCCCGCACATTTGCACAGGTCACTCCATCTAGTGGGGGGTCGTCCTACACTGCGATGGCTAGTACGAGGCTGCCACTCGAGAACCTTTCTTCCCCAACGGTTATCGGTTCTACGAGCTATATGGCCGGCCCATCGCCACTTCAGCTTGCTAATCCTCTGAGCTATATCGGTTATCTTAGTTCTACTGCGGATGTCTTCGTTACGAACTCTATCACGCAGAGAAATACCGAGCATAGCCCGCTCCATAGCTCGCTGAGCGACTTTGAGCTTCCTCATACGGCCAGCAGTGAAGGACCATGTCTCGGTTCCGTAGGTCATCACTGGCAACACACATTGATTGAAGACTTTAGTCTTCAAACATTGAGGTATATTCGACGAGAAGATTTGCCGAAGTTTCCCAAACGCTGCCCAGCCGAGTTGGATTCGCCGATTGACCTCTGCGTCGAAGCTAAACGTACTCGTCAACAACTTCGAGCTCAGTGCTCCCAACAACAACCGGTATAGGCGTGACATGGACATTAGACATGATCTTCGTCTTGTCCATGTTCATCTTAAGGCCCACCCGTTGGGAGACACTGTTGAGGTCATTGAGCATAGCACCCAGGTCCTCCAGCTATTCTGCCATGATGACTATATCGTCACTCACCACGACAGTGGCCAAACGCAATACCAGCGCTCCTCTTTCTCCACGCACCTCAGTCGCAGAGGACAGGGCGAGTGACTACACCTATACTACCATTAATTTCTATAAATTTAATATTTTATTCCATACCAAAAACTAAACGACTTGCTACCTTGCTAAAACTTCAAACGCTTTGCTACCCTCGGATAGAGTCAGAATAGGCATCGTTGAGACGTTCTCATAAACTTAAGGTTTCTCGTTAACTGCCAGTAGGCAGACTCCTGTCCCGCCTTCACGGCTATCACGGGTGACTCTAATTTTATCTAAGTGCGGGGTGCTCGTGGATTTGAGCCCCTTACCTAACTTTTCACTGTCAGTCATAAGGACCTGGCCGGTCTAATACTAACTTGACCTGGCGATGGTCAGAGTATAATACGATAATTACTTCCAAGTGATATACCGGTAAGTAAATATTCTTTAGAATGGGCATATCTAAAATTTCGGGATTTTAATGGGCGTTCGAGGCAATAATTAGCCTGTTGTCGTCCAGGGGCGAATGTCGACAAAAATAATTTTACCCTATTCGCCTAAGGCGAGGGCCGTTAACATTATTGGTGCAACTATTCCAAGCAGTGCTTGGAATTTAAGTCGCCGGCTAATTTCTTGGAGTCTTTAACTTCTAATGATTTTATATTATTAAAAAATTAAATGCTATTAAGTAATTAAGGTACGAAGTATGTACGAAGATGGCGTAGTAGACGCCATCTTCGTACATACTAATCCACAAATACGAAGAGAAATAAGTGTAGAGCTGAAAGGTTATATTTGAGTAGGTATTTAACAAACGCATTCGAAAATCTAATATATAAAATTCTCGTGTCACGGTGTTTGTAATTGAACTCCTCCGAAACGGCTCGACCGATTTTCGTGAAATTTTGTGTGCATATCGGTCAGGGTGGAGAATCTGACAACATCTATTTTCCATCCTGAATGTTAAGGGCGGTCCACCCTAAACAGTTTTTTCTACCCTACAAATTCCCTAGAAATCATTTATATGGCACAACAACGTTTGCAGGGACAGGTAGTATTTTTATAAACATGTCTGGGTTTGTCTTTAGAAAAATTTAGAAACCGTACACTCAGAACTAAACATTTCATTTCCAATATCTTCTAATATCGATTTGAATAACAATATCGATGTTGAATATTTCTTAAAAAAGTAAATAAATGTTATTGCTAAATTATATGACAATATATTGATTATGAATTTGAAAAATATATCAATTTGGCTATGTAACGTTATTTTACCTTAATATTTCCATACTTAGTAAAGAAATATTCAATATCGATATATCCATTAAATCGATATTTTTAAAAATTAAAAATGAAATATTTGAGTGTATGATTTCAATTTCAAATTTTTAGCTAAACTTACAAAATATTCTTCTTTCTTTCTAATTAATTGATACGATTTTCGAAGAAGATGAAAAGAACCAGGTTATTACATGCCTAATGTCTATAATATCATATTAGGGAATATTTAATAATTTTAAAACAGTAAATTCAGTAACTTTCCACTACAAAGGTTTCCATGAAATTTGATCGCTTAAATTAATTGATGAAATAAAATAAAGCGAATAGACAAGTAAATAGCATTTTTGCCTATAGATAGATAATTATTGGTTAGGGCTTAGTGCTCTTAGTTTGTGCTAGACGCTAGAATCAATCTGACGGTGTATTATTATTAAAAATAGGTGCGGTTATAAAACAGTTGAGATTGCCGTGATTTTCAATACTAAGTTTTTACTCTATAAAATTTAACGTTTAAAAAGTTAACTAGATGACAAATTCGCAAACAAAGAAGTGATTAGATTACACTGTTATTATTCTCTCCAGGAGATCGAACAGTGGTGTCATTGGACAAGACCAATCGTCCGTCTCGTACATGTGTATTCGACATAATAGAAAACATATAGCTCGCTACTAAATTGTGATCGAAAGCCAATATTGTGCTTAATTTTTAAGAAAACGGTTAAAAGTGTAGTGTATTGTGTAATTTCGACATTTGGTAAAAAAATATATAGTTAATGGTGATTGCTGTTGCACCTGTTTTTTATTAATTGGAAGAACAAATGGTGTTTTAAGGTTCATATGCGTTTCTATTATCTGAAATAAGTATAAGTGCCAATATTTTAATGCAAGCAAACAGGTATAACGATATTGGTGTGATGTGTCGTGCCATATTAACATTACTTACAGTATGCATCATACCTTGTGTAGGTGTAACACCTCTTTTTATTTTTACTGTTATATTAGGGTATAGTCTGGAGTTAATTGAACTATAACCACTGAATACCATACAGTAATATCATAGTCGTATGATCAGCTGTTTAGTACTAACATGGCGTTTGATAAGAAACAACTTTAGTTCTAGAAAAGTTAAGAAATTGGTGATGTATATATTAATTTAAAAAGACTTGCTTGTTCAAGTGTTTGTTGCAGAATTTTCTAAATGATTGTCATGAAATTGATCCTCTTTACTTAAAAAAGTAAGGAATAATGTATTTAAATGTAGTAACTTGTATTTTCGTGTCTTTGATGAATGTTAATGGACCAAAAAATCATTTCAAAATATAGAGAATGAAGATAATTAGTGTCTAACTTATCAAACATGTTCACATTAACCAGCATTATAGGCCTGATAAGTATTCTATTTTTTATTCCTTCTTTCAGGCCTTTTTATTTTGAAATATTATTCATGTCCTTTTATTTTTATTTTAAATATTAAAGAAATATGGATTGGTACAGTTAAACAACTGATTGAGATATGCTTATTGTTTTAAGTTACTTATCTAGTATTACTTTTATGAGTAACACTATAAATGTTGCTAGTGTATTTAGGTAGCTTAAAATTTGACTTATTGTTTCATATTGTTGATATTTAAACATACACATCCTAATGGCCAGTTTGACATCTAAATTGCTCAGCCAAATATATTTTATAAATATAAAATAACTACATTCTTTCCTTTAGTTGATTTTGACACTTTCATCTACTCATGGTTTGAACTATAGCATGACCACAAGGGATTTTATAATTCGACATTATTGTTTGTTGTCTTTCATTTCTCTAAATGTTGTTTATATAGTTAATTAAACATACAGTTATAGGGTATAATTAAAAATCTAATTATTTATACCATCAATGTACAAAATAAAATAATAAATAAATTTTGTATTGAGTGACCTTTTTGGAATCATATGAAAATAAGCAAATGTTTCTTTTGTTTCATATGACATTCACCCGTCTTATGGCAACCATGTCAAAGGCGGGTGTTAAGTCAAACTTTTGTTAATATGCTAATATGGAATTATTTATCATTAAATGTATACTTTATCTCATTTATCTTGAATAAAAATACAAAATTATTACAAGTCTCACTTAATTTTCCATGCATATAATTAATTTAGATCTTTTTTGTTCATGGGTATTAGTCTAATTTTATGTCATATTTCAGGTAAATTTACCCCCCTAGTGGGAATTTAACTATGGTGGACTACTATAGAACATTGGGAGTATCGAAGACTGCTTCTGAAGCAGAAATTAAGAAAGCGTAAGTTATGTGTAATTTTTAATTATGTATGATTATTCAATGATTAATTTGTAACTTTTTCATAAAATTAATAAATGTGTATGTTTATAGCTACAGAAAATTAGCACTGAAATGGCATCCTGATAAGAATCCGGACAATGCAGATGAAGCTAATAGAAGATTTAAGGAAATATCTGAAGCATATGAAGTCCTTTCCGATGGTATGTCTTTTAAATATATGTGCAGTCATTTGAAATAAATCTCATTTTAAAAGAGAAGATTTTATTCTTTTTATGTTTTACATAAATTTTATTTTATAAAACATGTATGATAGCTAGGAAAGTAGTAATAACTCAATTACTTTTTTTTGAGCTTAGTACCATCAGTTGATCCATGTTAACTTGTGTAATATATATTTGAGAGTATTCTTATTTAATTAATAATATAAACACTTTTTTGCTCATTGTTCTCTTCATAATAATAAAGATATGGTTAATTTTACAGTGTAACTGAGTTACGTTCAATATATACTCTTAATTCTTCTCTGCCTTTACTTTTATTCTTTAATAAATTGTAAGTCTATTAATCTCTTTTTGTCTTTTGATGTGAAATATTGTAAAATCTATTATCATTTACTTGATGATGCCATTTATTTTCTGTCAACACATTTTATAGTTGCAGTTCACATAAAAATTTATTATTACTTATATTTTTATTATAACATGAGATATTTTAGTATATATTTGTTTTGTGTTGTCTCGGTAACATATGCTATTTTACATCTTAGTATGCTCAGTTTGTGAGTGATTTGTTATTAGCGATTCTATTTTTAAATTGGTGCATCTTTAAAGTAATCGTAAGTCAAAGCTAAAAGCTTAGCTAGTACTGTTACTTTGTCTATATCATATCTATCGGGATAATTGTAGTTGGTAATTAATATGAACACAGATTTGCACCTCGATCAATATAAGTATACATTATAATCTTATTGTTGGGTAGAAAACAAGCGGAAAGTGTATGATGCACGGGGTTCCAGTCATCACAGTCACAGATATCAAAGCAAGAATGGAGTTAATGGCCACCGACACTTTAGCTTCAAGGGGTTTTTTGGAGAGACGCCTTTTCACCGATTTTTTGGTAGTTTACAATTTAATGTAGGGCTCGATACTTTGAATATTATCATTTTAATCCTTAGATGATGATAATACTATGTTATCCACTTTTTTAAGTGCATTTTGTTTATTACATTTATTTTTGTAATACAATTATGCCCGGTTTCTAAAACACTGATCATCATAAGAATTAAGCAAAATAACTAACTTCAAATGTCATTTGAATTGCCAAAATTATAGTTAAACTCTCTGGATTGAGCAGAATGATCTTAAAGATCAGAATGATCAATTTAAAGAGTTTAAGAATCCTTTTGGCAACTTAAATGACATTTGTAAAGCCATTTGACAGCTGATTAGTTAATTTCTATGATAATTAGTGTTTCAGAAACCTGGCTTTAGCTCTTTGCCAAACTAATTAAGAAAGAATGAGTCCTTTATAGAAATACATATTTAATGTTATGAGTTGTGAAACATTTAAAAAAATAATACTTGCTGTACATTGCACAGTTGAACATACATTATGAACTTCCTAACTGGGACATAAAATGATAATATTCAGATAAATAATAAAGCAAATAACATTTAGTTTTGTTTATTGAATTTGCCTACTCACAATACTAACAATCTTGACTTATAAGTAAAATAACATTTAGTGTGAACTGTGACTTGGTTTCAATTGAAAGTAATCTCTCAGCATGACGTCATGTAACAAGGAAGGCCTATCAATAGATATTGATTCCATTGCACCTAAAATTGAGTATGTAATATGATTATAGAAAATATATTTTAAAGAGAGTCATAGATAATTATTAAAAATTTATTGATATGGTCTTAATCTGATAACAATTTATATTATTTTAATGGTAGTATGAAATAGGTCATTGCAGTAGTTGACATTTATTATTCTGTTTGGTAAATCTATGATATCGATTGGAATATTTTTGTAATATTATGTATTTTTGTAATATCATTATTCTCTTTCTTCATTATCAGATATTGACACGAAATTTAAGAATGGACTTTCCTATAAATATATATTCCACTTTACAATAACTACACCCATATAGCATAAATTTGCACATTCAAATAAATTTATGTATTTCTGACATCACCCCTTAAAATTAATCTAAATACATGTGTCATAGTTGCCAAGAGTGTAACTGTGAACATACTCAATTTCCTGAATGAATTATACATGCATATGTACACATAGACTGCTGCTTCATAACTATAAAATATTTAATATTCTTTATGATAAATCCAACAAATGATATTCAGATATAATAATTATCCCACTTTCATTAATTATATCTGATACACATAGGTTTCACAATGAATAAATTAAGTTAATATACAGTGTAACTTATATAAATATAAGAACAGTAATACACAGAAGAAGTTACGCGACAGGCGTGGAGCTGATTGATAACAGCGTTAGAACAATTCGTGTAATCGGGTTATAATTTCGCATATAAATACGTACAAGTAGTTTAATTACGTACGTAGTTGGGTGGAGACTAAGTAAATAGTAATTTATCCCCCCCCCCCCCCCCCCCCGCAACCGTACCTTTGGCGACGTAAGAAATACGCAGCGTTGGAGTATATATGTGCTAAAATTAGTACCTTGTTTTCAATTGAACTGAGGTATTCTGTCAAATTCTCAAACCACCATTCTATGTTCTGATTGATCTGATCGCAATATCTTGCTTTTACTCATCAATTGTTAAGTCCTGATTTTGGCAGTACAGCAGTTTTCTAACGTCAAATTAAAATCGTGAAAGTCGAGGTATTACTGTAAACATCAGTTTTTGGTAATCATTTTATTTAGCTAACGGTAGTAGTTAACTCTTTTATAACCTTAATGAAATGATAATTTAGGAATAAAGTGCTAAGGCATAACACGATTTGTCAATGAAAGTTCTAACGGGATGGCTCTTATTTAAAACTTTGAGACACATGGACAGTCTAGTTTCACACTTGTACTTATGTTTCAAGGACCTATAAAACTAAACGCTTCAAGGACATTTTAAAAATAAATTTTGTGTTTTGGCTTGGAATGGACTATCCTTCGAACTATCACACATTAAGGAAATATGTCATAATGTTTAAAATTTTGCATATGAAATGCACAATAGCCACATATTTGATTTGCTTTTATACAGAAAGAAAAAGGAGAGTGTATGATCAATACGGAAAGGAGGGCCTGAATAGCGGACGAGGCCGGCGGTCCGCTGCCGACGATGACTACGAGTTCGGCTATCACAGCTTCCCGTTTACATTCCGCGACCCGGAAGAGGTGTTCCGAGAATTTTTCGGCGGTTCACCGTTCGGTGATTTGTTTGCTGGTAAAGCTTGTTTCGATCGGCTTTTATAGACACAATGTACGACGTCCCATGACGTTTCTATTTAGTGGTTAGCGCCCAAGAAACGCAATTACACGAATCATTTCAATTTATGATAAATGTTCTGAAATATGAATAATGAATTTTGTCAATGTTCACCTTTTTCATAGGCTGTGTTTGGCGATAGATGTTTTTTAAATGTAAAGCAGTCCAACATTAGGGATAAATTAGAATCTTAAGCAATTATTGCAAGTATATGTATACCGTTGGATAACATTACTCTTACTTTATTAGTATTACATTATTTTAAAGATCCAACTTTCCTTTAGTGCTACCTAATCCTAAGGCGCCAAAGTAACGGGTCGTGGAGTTTGTGATAAGTAAACATTTCGTAGAAGATGTCCGAATGTTTTTTAGGACCACGCAATAGTCTTCGCTGTTGTACGAAAGTGCAGGTCCATTTGGGGAAGTACCACGACTGTTCTGTGAGAGAAGACCGGCGTTAAGTGGAAGTGTTATGCTTTTGCGTTTCGTTTGGTGAGTGACGTAACCGGAGCCCACTTTATTGAAAGGTGGCCATGCATCACATAAATCATGTCCATGGGCGGCTATGATCACTTATCATCCCACATACAAAAACGGAACTATTCTGGGTTTATTTAGAAGAACAAAAGCTGTATATGTAATGGATTTTAATTCAATTAGGTTTCATGAGTAGTTAATACCTTTTAATGTATGAATCGGTGAATGACGACAGTAAACTTGTTAACGACTGCTCTCGATGGTACAGATGTTAGTAAAATAGTATTACAACAGTACCGAGGGCCTAGAGTATAACTATGCTGTATACGCTGTGTACACTCGCGCCTTTGCAGACTTGAACGGGCACGGGTACCATCACCGGCACGGGCGCCGGAGCCACCCGGGCACGTCGCTCACGTCGTCGCTGTTCAGCCCCTTCGGGCTGGGGCTGCAGGGGCTGGACGACGCGTTCGCGCACGCCGCCTTCAACGGGAACACGTTCACCTCCTTCTCGACCTTTAACAGCTCCCTCGCAGGCCCGGGCAGTGCGAACATGAAGAGCACCACGACAACCACGCGCATCGTCAACGGAAAAAAGATCACCACCAAGAAGTGAGTGAGGCCGTTGTTCGTATCAAATCAATCAGAAATATGTTTATTCGAATAGACGCTTTCTTATGAATCGTCAAACTTTTTACATCAAAAATTATATGTACAGATTCGTAAGGTACCATACCAAATTTTGCCCCCCCCCCCCCCCCCCCCCCCCACATATCTTGAGGACCTAACTCCATTGGCAACAGCCAATCTAGCGCGAGTTGCGGCGATTAGAAAAATGAAACGCAAAAGTGCTCGGCTGTTGCACGAATTGGCACACTAGTCCGGGTAGTGGGGGGGTCCGGGAAGTGGAAGTATAATAAATACTTTCGCGTTTCGTCTGATGAGTGAGGTAGCCGGAGCCCAATTTCAAAAGGTTATCAAGGCATCTGCAACCCTCGGGTATAGCAGATGTCCATGGGCCGCGGTATTCACTTAACATCGGGTGAACCGCCTGCTCGTTTGGCAACTTTTCACAAAAAAAAAAAATATGTTTACAGCAGTGATGGTTATTTTAAACTGTTTTTTTTTGTTTTTGTTATTTAAAATTTCTAGATGTGTCTCGGATGTTCTTAGTACACCAACTATATTTGTTCGAAAACTGACTGGCAAAAATGATAAGTTCTAAATGATCTTTTAATTTCTGCCAATGATTGATGAGATGTTACAGTAACCGTATTGTTTATTCATTAATAGCAAAATTTTTATTGGTTCACAGGATCACGGAAAACGGAAGGGAGACCGTAATGTCTTACGAAAACGGGGTCCTTAAATCAAAGACTGTTAATGGTGTACCTCAATCTCTTACTTACAGTTAAACAGAAAAATGCTTTACAACCAAACTTAATCCAAATGACAACTTGTACTCAACACTACTATGCGAGTTACATGTTCCATTTATCATTTAGTTTTGCTTAATTTAATGATATAGTTTTCGACACTGTAAATTCATAGTGATGAAAATGTCAAAGTAATAATTCTAGTTATACTTAGGCTAATATTGCTTTTTATCTTTAACTTTAATAATATTTTTTTTTATTACAGAGAATACTGATTAAATTTAAAAGTAGGTTCATTGAAATACATACTGTAAAATATTGTTATATTCTTTGGCACGCCCATTTCTGATCTCAGTCTCACGAACGAATCCTGGCTATTTGTATACATATAATAATTATGTGCGATGATTTTAGTGTTCAGTGTCCATTAAAAAAATATATACTAGTCGCAAACTGGCGAATGGGATTCGATTTCAAGTGGAACTCGGAATCAAATGCGCCATATATATTACAACACAGCGGCATTGTAGTTGATAGCTATTGTAGCGTCGTATTGTGGCTCACGTAATATTTAATAAGTATCTAATGTGTGAAGTTGTCGGATTTAGTTAAATTAGCTCCTATTACAAGGGTAAAGCTTCTTAAATGTTAAATTTATGTTGTCATTGAGCAGAACTTGCACTCATGCTCCTAATATCTTGATCTTTCTACTCTCACTTCATCAGTGATCAGTCTGTGAATTTTTAATGTTCTATTATAAAAATTATGTAGAAACTCGTAAAATAAACGAATATCATAATCTACATTTTTGTACTTTTTAATATAAAACTACCTATCTGTAGATGATTAGCTTATCAGTTTTAATACTTAAGTGTTTACCTGTTTTAAAACATTGGCATTACGTAAATAAATGACTTGTGTGTAGAACGGTCAAGATTTTAAAAATACCTATGAAGGTTAAAAAAAATTAGGCTGTAAAATTCGGGCATTTATAATGGGGCCTGCTATCCTTAAATATGCTCTAAATATTTGCCAAGTCTAAGCCGGCCGCAATGATAAGATAATTCATAATATCGATAAGGTCTACTTTCACATCATTACAAGGTGGTTTATATACAATATTCCTGTTTTGAATGTCTTAGACTACCGTTTTGCTACATTAATTAATATATGTTAGTATTTTTAACAATTGCGCTACGCTATGCTAATTGAGTACTTAATATTACGTTACATTTCAATTTTCGAACAAAATAAGTTAATGGCATAGATGATTGAATTTTCAAACAGTGGCAAAACAATGGGCAAATGAAATTTCGGTGTCGGTGAAGACATGACTTTTTAGATCTAATTTGGCTAAACTAAATTGCGTTACAATACAATAACGATTTTTATTAAAATGTAAATGGTCTTTTTTTTAATTCTAATTCTTCAATTTTTTTCTGAAACGTACATGCATATTGTTGTTGCCCTTAGAAAATGCCGTTTGTTTAGTTTTTTTTTTCACTGTAAACATTTATCTTATATGTCAGATTACATGTAAATAAATTTCTAATTACACTTTGAGTCTTTGGCGAAATTTATGTACTAAGCACTGCAACGGATATGAATAAAGAAAAAGAATAATTTGATTTTTCGTTTTATTTATTTGCTCGCTAACTGCCATTTTATGATTTTAAGGCCTTAAATAGTTGACTAGATTTTATTGCATTAACCCACAAACATGTGGGTGCAATTTATTGCACCCACAAACATGTTGACAGAGTAATAGAAAATAACTATAACAGTGTATAATTGCGAATGCCGACATACTTATTTGCGCACTGCTGACGTCCGGATTTGTAAGGTTTATTTAGATAATAGGGGGTGCTAAATTTTTTTTTTTTAAACACTGCCCTTTAGGATAATATTATCCTGTGTTGTAAAGGACGTTTTACAAACATAAATTTCACGCGGACAAACACCCAGATGCGAAACAACTATCTGTGGGTCACACAAATAGTTGTCCCGTGTGGGAATCGAACCCACGACCCCCGACGCCGAAGCCAATACCTTGGCTACTGCGCCACGGAGTCATCTAACATATCATTTGGAACCCCACTTTGTTTTTTTGAGTATTTTAAGAAACTACAAATAGTTAAAACTAACGATCACAAAACTGTCGCTTTATATTTAAAAACTGATTAACTTTCATATTAAAAACTAATTTATAAAATAAAATCACTTATTATAGGAAAAAAATTGCTTTCTTAGAAAAATAAAAAAGAGTTCAAAGCTCTGGTGCTGGTATTATGGAACCCGGGTTCCAAATTACAAGTATGAAATAAATTTACATACAAAAAACACCTTACATGTACCAAGATAACATTTTACAATTTTTGTCTGTCTGTTTGTTCCGATTAATCTCTGAAACGGATGGACCGATTTGGACGGGAACTTCACTGACAGATAGCTGTTGTAATAAGGAGAAACTTAGGCTACGTTTATTTTATATATATATTTTTTTTAAATTCAATGCGGACGAAGTCGCGGGCACAGCTAGTCACAAATATAATGGTCCGCGTCACATTCAATATGTGCCCACAACATACATGATTGGCACTGAATCTAAGTTTCACCCTGTTGATCGTTGGAGTAATTTTCAGAGCTAAAATGCAACAAGCGTCATCTTGATTTGTGGGCTGGGCATGCGTGGTAACATTTTCTGACATTACAGTGTCACCTGAAAAAACAGAATATTCAGAATCCGAAGCGGTCGAATCCTCGCTGTTTAGAAGAGTTCTAGAAGGCTTTGCAACACTCTGCCCACCACTACGCCCACGAGCGCTTCCCGAAACTATTCCCCGACTTCTTCCTCTCTGCGCTATGGACTTGACTGACTACTCAAGTTGCTGTTTGTAAGGAGACCCGGTCAATAAAGTAATGCGGGTACTTTGGAACCCGGTTCCATATTACCTGCACCTATCGGGTTCCAAAATTAAAACCTTACTTTGTACCAAATAATCAAGAAAACAAAAACTAGTTCAAATAGATCTTAAAACTTACCTCTGACAATGTAAATCTATATATACTTCGTGTAACACCTACTGTATTTATTTTTAGAGAGAAACAAAAGTTTTGACAGTATTAGGAAATAAAAGTAAAAAACATTTGCAGGTGACACAAAATTTCAACTTCTTATAACAGGTCCAAACTCGATGCAAAGATGGCGCCAGTGACGCTAATACGTTCAATGACATCATTTCGAATTTCATCGGTTTTCAACGAATTTCGTTGTCTGTTCCTGGGATATTAAGGGGTTCCAAATTATCAGCAGGATCCAAACTACCACCTCTTCCCTATATATGGTAGTTCTATTATTGGGTTTTTATTTGCACTCACAGTACATGTTTTTATTTTGCAGAGTCAATTTTACTGTGGTGCATATACCTTTTTCTTATTTACCTTCACATATTTTTGTTGCATTATATTAGTATATGCTTAGTACATGTCTATACTTGTTCTATACTTTTTAATTATTTATTCACAATTTTGTAACATGTACATACACTCTGTAACATATTGCAGAGCTCTGTAAACTTTATCCGGCAACCAGGACTATGGCACAACGCTGTCCCAAGCTAGTTACGACAGCCATAAAAATACTCGATTTTGGTAATCTGTATTAAGGCGTTCCAGAAAACCGTAATTTTGTTTCGTTTGTCTTATGTATTGATATAGATAATGAGAATAGTATTCCGGTGCAGTTTTCTTATAGAGCGCACTTTGGTTAGTTCGTCTGACCCTTACTGCCCTTTTAACCCACTGATTCAATGGAGTTTTATGACTTATAGTTTTGTAGCCGCTAGTATATTGCTCTTACGTCCTTTTCTGATATCAATTCCAATGCGGACCGTGGTTAGCTAAATATTTTACCTAATAATTCATTATCATATACCTAATCTTAGAATTGAATACAATGAGGTACAGAATAATAAGTTTTAACTTATTTGTAAGTGAATACGTTCTCGGTTTTTGAATTTTGTTATATTGAGAAGGAACAGTCTTTGAAATGCTGACAACCCGAAGAAGTCAGCTTTACCCAAAAAAAGCGAACTTCTTGTTTCTTATTTTCCCAGGCGTTTTATATTGTAGTTAGAAATAGTTATCATTGATCTGAGTACGAAATTGTTGAAGGACGTGCATTTTGTTTCAATTTGTTAAAATGTTTAAATTAAAACATTTGGGAGTTAAAAAACAAGAACATACACCAATACTACTTTATTAAATATATTAATATTAAATACATTAATATTCAAATGGAAATAGACGTAAGATACATAGATGATGGAAATGTAAGGATCGTTTTCATTTTTCTACGAGTTAATAATTAGATGAGATAAAACTTGAATTAATGTACTTGTTTATGAGTAGATCATACGGCGACTATGTAAACTCGTATAATAATTTAATCCATTTTTTGGTAACGTTGCTTATATACTTGTACGATTAAGTTTTCGTCAGGATATTCCAGTCGTTTTTCGTCATTTAAGACATAACAGAATCCATCAAAGTGGGTAAACCCTTGAGCCACTAAATCCTCCAAATGTTTCATCCGTGTTGGGTTGGGTACGGGAAGTAGATGTTCTGGAAATAAAACAACATTACGAGTAGTACAATTAACTATTTTTTATAAGAATTTTATAAGTCATTTGTAACCAAAACGAGGCCTATTTCCTTGCATTCAGTGCTTGTATCTGCTTCTTAGTTTAAGCATTGATATAATATGGACGTTTGCCTTCTAACGAAGACTAACATTTTCCGTTAATTACTACATTGCCACCCCGTACCTATTGCTTACGCCGCCATATTTGTAAAGTGGATCACATATTATTGTAAAATGCCTTCATTGGCTGTAATACTATATCAGCACACCTTCATCAGGAAAAAATGGAATGTCATAAATATAGGGCGAAAAATAAAACTGATTTAAACTCAAATTCTGATCCTTAAATCATTGCTTACACCGGAGAACATACGGTTACATTTAAATAAATTAATAGCTTTAGATATGCATGCTTCACAAAATCAGCATATAAAATAAATTAATACTGCATCGCTACCACCGAGAAAAGCAGCAGCACGTCGACATCTTTTTCAAACCTACCACTAGGTTCATCAGTCATAAAAAATTTATATGAACCAAAAAAAAAATAAAAAACAAAATGTCACTCACTATATATTTTCTACTCGACTTTGAAGAGTTCCCTGATGTATTTCCGGAGTTTTGTGAAAATTTGCCAAACGAGCAGACGGCTCACCTGATGGTAAGTGAATACCGCCGCCCATGGACATCTGCTACACCCGAGGGTTACAGATGCGTTGACAACCTTTTGAAAATTGAGCTCCGGAGTCCAAGATTTAATACCAATGAAATTAATATGGGGTCGTAAAGTTAAAAATTAAAAAAGGCATGTCAAAATCCAATTAAGCACCAATATAATATAATCCATTTTACATGTGTTTATTCTACATGCGTAAGCAAGAAAACTTACTCGAAGTATAATGTGAATTTTGTATATAGTAGTATACAGCGTGTCGTTACCACCGCGACAATAAATGAACACACATATAGAGGATACCTTTTTAAAATTGTATTAAACATTTACATTCTTCAAACATCAATATTTACCGAGTTATTAAATTTTCCAAAACAAACAATTTTAGAACACCCTTACCTATAAAAGCGTAACGTAAAGTTCATTTGTAAAGGTCACAAAGCATATGAATGGGTTGAATGAATTTAAAAGAGACAAAACATACTGTTAGAAGGAGACACGCTGTATATACATAGCTCAGTAAGAGCCTGACACGAGGGCAAATTGTTCCATTTCTTTATGTACACAAAATGACGGGGCGGAATAGCAAAACGTTTACTTTGAAAACGAAAGGACAAAACTACCTAGCCTCTAGTTGTTCAAAGTTGGAGAGAGGAGGGGAAATTCATTTGTATTCCGATAAGCAACAATTGTGATGAACTGTGTGCGTAGAAGCGAGTTACCGACATAGCAGAGTGCGTCAGCAGGCTGAAGTGGCAGTGTGCAGGGTACATAGCTCGAAGAACCGATGGCCGTTGGGGCAAAAAGGTTCTCGAGTGGAGACCATTTGATTGAATGAATTCTCTTTTAAATTCATTCAACCCATTCGGTTGAATGAATTTAAAAGAGACAAAACATACTGTTAGAAGGAGAGGCTTGTAATACGATGCTGTGGCGCGAGTTGTATAGGATGTGTACAAATTTTGTTTCTTTTTTACTTAATTAGTTTGTTTGAAAAATATTTTTTTTAAATTATTTTGTTTAAAGTTAATATTTTTTTTATGATTATTGGAAAGTAGCGTTAGACGTATGTTCATTTATTGTCGCGATGGTAACGACACGCTGTAGAATAGATAAACAGCCGACCTAATATAGTTGGTTCAGCATTTTTCTATGTTGGAGTCCTTTACCAGTAATTTTGTAAGTTTTTCTGTCAAGGATATTATAAAATAAGTTTATCATACATAAATAACATATTGATACTAAAGTGCTTGGTAGACGTTTCAGAATTTCTTCGCGTCATTGTAATCTTAAAAGGAAACATGATTGGTGCTACATATGGCATCAGAATACTCACAATAGTTTAACGGGTGACTCATCAAATCTCAAATTGCGAGTACCAAGGTTTCTACAATCGGATTATCTTAATGTCCATTTTATTATATTTCAAATAATTGTACAGCGATTTTGATAAGCAATAAATGAAATCATATACATGAACTCCATGAAATGAAAATCATCAATTTTGAACATTCTGCCACTTCGTTATTTTGATACAATTCAACACACTTTTGGGTCTAGTCTGGTTATTCTTTCGCTATTAGGACTTAAGCTGTAAAATATTAACGTAATATGACAAAACATATTTGTTAAAGACTTGTGTACATACATATTGATGTATTCTTTAGCTATTGGATTGTTTCGACTAGAAAAGTTTCATGATGTCACTGAAAATTAAATATAGTAGTATAACACCCAGTTTCGGAATGATCAATCAATTTTTAATTTGCGAATAATCTCTTGTTAATCTTTGTTTAATATGATAAGAGTTAAAAGAACGGCTGAAAAGAACGATGATTTCGAAATGAAATTAATCACTTATTAACGGACGATCAACAGAAAATTAAGTTTCTCGAAGCGTTTTTCCTTGATTAACCTGTCTAGTTGTCAAAATTTTGATGATCTTTGTTTAAATTTTATTTTAATTGAAATCTCAGTTTTTATTACGAAAAATAAACTTAATTCCAAGTAAGATTTTATAAGATAACTCGTGGACCCGATAGACGTTATCCTGTAAACTTGACTGAAATCCGAAAACAACTTATACATAAAACAATATATTGACCTAATTAAGAATCTAAAAATTCTCGAATCGAACTGAAGACAAAAAAATTTCATTAAAACGGTCCAGCCGTTTAGAAGGAGTTCAGAGATATACACACGTGCAGAAGAATTATATATAGGGAGACTTTTTTAAAAGTGCCCAAATTTACACAGGAGGTTCAGACTCGGTAGTATAATCGTTTATTGAAATAAAATCAAACTTCTTTTTTTTTTTTCAAAAAAAAATACCCTTCTATTCCCTTAAAAACAGAACTTGTTGACAACGCGGTAGTCATTCATAAATACCTAAATTTTACTGTCAAACGAACTTGTGTGCGCGTTAGTTATGAATGATCGCACGTAAAATTAATGAGTTGCGTATAAATCAAGCACTTTTGGAGATAAGTTCAAATGAATGTAATTAATTACTTACAAGCGTTTTAAAATATTTATCATTTTTATATAACATTATTTATATCTAGAATTTAATTTAAAAAAATGGATACACTTAGAAAAGCCTCCCTCATGCTATAACAAAAAGATTATCTTTTTTGTTACTAGCTACAAAGTTTATAATTTTCATAATAACCCGATAAATAACCGGTTTCGGCCCTCTGCGTTTAGGTAGGGCCAACGGGAACCCCAATTGACATAATAAGGGATTATTTTGATTTTTTTTATTATCGCCCACATAGACGGCCAATTGACGTGATTATATTAAATAATATGATTTTTTCGTCGGCACTTACATTCGATAGGGACACTTTTTACTTTTTAAAGTAGAGAGCTATATAGTATAAAGAGATAATTATTATTAATATTAGATGACGTAAATCATTAATTATCATTGCAGTGATTAGCAAATTTTTCATGAAGGAACCTTTTCCAATTCCAAGGCAGTTTAACTATAGTTTAACAGCTGATAATTTTTTACATAGTGTTATATGATTGCCGTTTTTGATTGACTTTTCGGAAACTGGAAATAAGTGTCACGTATCGTCTTGTGACTGAGAAAAAACGGACTTGTTATTTGTTATTTTTCTCTATAGTTCGGGATCCCAGGCCCATTTTCACCTTTTATTACTAATAAGTAGATTTTTGTGAGTAGCTTTCACAATCTGTTTTTAACGAGCTGTTAAATATCCGATAACTTATTATGAATAAGACCGAAGGAATTAAGAGTAAAATCTAAATATTTGTCATATGAAAGGTAAGTCCATCGAATATGTTTTCACATTTTTCTTAAAATAATTTTATAAGTTTATATTTCACGTAATTATGTAAAAAAAATGGAATACTATTATGATAAATAACCGGTTTCGGCCCTCTGCGTTTAGGTAGGGCCAACGGGAACCCCAATTGACATAATAAGGGATTATTTTGATTTTTTTTATTATCGCCCACATAGACGGCCAATTGACGTGATTATATTAAATAATATGATTTTTTCGTCGGCACTTACATTCGATAGGGACACTTTTTACTTTTTAAAGTAGAGAGCTATATAGTATAAAGAGATAATTATTAATATTAGATGACGTAAATCATTAATTATCATTGCAGTGATTAGCAAATTTTTCATGAAGGAACCTTTTCCAATTCCAAGGCAGTTTAACTATAGTTTAACAGCTGATAATTTTTTACATAGTGTTATATGATTGCCGTTTTTGATTGACTTTTCGGAAACTGGAAATAAGTGTCACGTATCGTCTTGTGACTGAGAAAAAAAACGGACTTGTTATTTGTTATTTTTCTCTATAGTTCGGGATCCCAGGCCCATTTTCACCTTTTATTACTAACAAGTAGATTTTTTGTGAGTAGCTTTCACAATCTGTATTTAACGAGCTGTTAAAAATCCGATAACTTATTATGAATAAGACCGAAGGAATTAAGAGTAAAATCTAAATATTTGTCATATGAAAGGTAAGTCCATCGAATATGTTTTCACATTTTTCTTAAAATAATTTTATAAGTTTATATTTCACGTAATTATGTAAAAAAAATGGAATACTATTATGAAACTTTAGTTATATTCTTAAAATAATAATTACATAAAGTATATTACATTTAACATATCTTTCTCAAAAATATGGATTGTAATATAAATTTATTAAATTCAATAGTAAAATTTTCCACATGTTTACAGTTTGCTCCAATAACAGTCAGAGAATTCGGTTATTGTTTATTGTTTACATTAAAAAAAAAACAGATTTTATGTACATTGCAAAAAGTTAATTAAATTTCAAAAAATATGTTGTCACTTCATGCTGTGCTACAAATAGGGAAAAGAAAATGACAATTCTTGTAGGACTAGCAATACATACCTGTTTTTTGGCAGGACATTGTTTTATTTTTTCGGTTTATTTAGATAATTATCTTGGGAATTAATAAAGATAAATTCAGTTAGTAATAAATTTTCGAAATTCGTCAAATCAACATATTTCACCTCTGCTAATCCTGTTAGCTACCGTTTACAAAAATTATTGTAAAGAAAAAGTTGGGCGTCTCGTCAAAATGAAGCTACTCAGAAATAATCCGTTCGTTATTAATAAAAGGTGAAAATGGGCCTGGGCCTACTAGTTCGATTTTAATTTATATTTGACAACAAAATCGATGAAATTCGTCCCGAAAACAGTGTGCTCTCGCTTAGCGTCAAAATGAACTTATATTTACGAAAACGAATAACAAATAGTCCGCAACTTTACACCACCAGTGTTTTTGGGGGAAGAAATAAAAAATGAGCTAGACGAGATTCAAAGGTTCAGCCTTTGCGCGTACAACACAGAGTGAATAATTAATGAACAACCTACCCTGTGGAATGTATCGTTCGGACTGGTCCGTCGCAATCACGCGGTAGTAGGGCTGGTCAAAGCCGTAGATCAGGTTCTGGTTGGAGATGCAATAGGGCCAGTGGACGCTGCAGACGCGGTCCCAGCCGCGCACGATGCACTGGTACTCGTGGTACTTGTGGCAGCAAATCATACCCACCGCGTACAGCACACTGCTGTGGTGCCTCTTTTGTTCCAATACCTTCAGCTGTGCGCAAAAAAGGTACATAGTTATCGCATGCTCAGCGGCGAAGGAAAACATCGCGAGGTAACGTGCGTGTTTTCGAAGTAATAACAATATATATATATATATATATATTCGGAAGATAATTATGTTAAGTCCGCCAATCCGCAGTGGTGCCGCGTGGTGGACTATGCCCTAATGCCCTTTGTACAGAGGAGGCTTTTGCCTAGTACTGGATCATTTAATATAGGCTGTTACGATACATAATTTATTCAATTAAAAGTACAGTCGACATTTGTAGTTGTATATGTACCATAAATTGTAGTTTGTGAGAATTGATGTAATGTTTTTATGTTATATTTTATTTAATTACGGATATAGTTGCTGTATTCAGATAGCAATGGCTGGCAATATTTAATGTCAAAATTCAACATTCCCAAGTCCTGTTTACTTTTCCAAATTTAATATTTTATATTTAGCCTGACATCTGTCCCGTTGCAATAATATCGGGCTAGTAATCGGACCGTTGTCCATTTTAGTAATTAATTTATTTTTTTATGTGAGAAAGTGGCAAGTGGCACATGTTAATTGATATCCGCCGCCTATGGTCAGTGGCAGCACCCATTGTGTTTCAGATACGTTGGCAACCTTTCAATAATGTGGCCTCACTCATCAGGCGAAATGAAAAAGTATTTAAGAACCTTCCCACTTCACCCGGTCTTCTGTGAGGTTGTGGTTCTTCCCCGGACGGACCTGCCCGTACGTGCAACAGCGATGACTCTAGCGTGGTCTTCCACAGTTATTTTATCTCTTGTAAAGGACAAAAAATATTGTTTTATTGATTGAAAATATTTATAAATATTTAAATAAACAATAACGGTTTTAAAGGAAGTTAAAAGATCCCATTAAAAAAAAAATTGCAGGTACATAACTACAGAAAATGTGACAAAAATATTGCCTTCGCAAAAGCGTTTATATTTGCACCATTTACCTATTTTATATATCGTCCCGGAATTACTACCGGGTTCTTGGATGAGAAGAAAGCACGTCATTATGTGCTTCCGAAAAACACCATGAAGACAAGTACTGTTAAAATCACATACAAAAAAGAATGTTTATTCTATAATAGATTCTATAATATATTATATTCCCAATGGGTGTTTTCTGTATGTTGTTGGTATTTTTGAAGGTTTTCTATATTAACACACTAGGCTAACTTACGGGTTTCTTCGCAACCGCATTAAGACCCATCGCATGTAAATGGAACAATGAGAAAATAATTGGTAGTTCTTCCCTTTTAAGCTGAAAATAAAGATAAAAATATGTATCAGTAAAATAATAACGAATTACTATTACAAATTAGATATTACTTACATTTTTCATGTTTATTTCTGAATCGACTATCAGATTTGAATTTTGAAACAAGTAAAGATATGGACTGGGATAATTCTTCCCTAGGAATCCCAACAGATCTGTTGCATTTGAAACGTGCCTGTAATTATATTTATAATAACATGTAAGAAACACTTTTGGTTATTTGGAGCGGAAAAAGTATCCATTATTTTAATGTGAGTTTAATATTTCGGATTACTACCAACTCTGATCAAATATGCATCGAGAAAAAGTTCTATAATTCGTTGCTATTTTAAAGGTAGAGAAAGAGCTTTATAGTGCCAATTTCATTTACGTACTTTAATATTCGAAAATCTTATATAAATATCACAAAGACCTGAACAGAATTGATGACACCAAACTTCTGCCACCTGCCTAGCATTTTCGCTTTATAAAAAAAAATTTAAAGAAAATAAGACTGTAATATGTAAGGAATTTTCTCTTTTTCGACTTCTATTAACACTCGACGAGACAAAGAATATTTTTAGTGCAAAACCCTTCCAACGAGCTTAAATATGAACTCGTTTTATGGATACTTTACGAAATATCAATAACAAAAAAACAACCTTCTATCGAAATAAATAATGGATTTCTTTTTCCCCAGGCGACTAATTTAAACGTAATAGCAGTATTGAAACGAAGCATTTTTACCAGTCTCTTTCGGCACCGCTGCTACTCATGAATGTCAAATGAAGACACTGTAGCAAATAATCAGGGCAGTATTTGTAATGGGAGTCTACTCTTCTGTGGGTATAGGGGCAGACGCGGTGCGCCTCTATCTCCCCAATTTCGATGTGAACTGTATACTCTATATTTTCTTCGAGGCATAACCACTCGATGAACAGGTGGTTAGGGAATACGACCAAGTCAGCTTGCACGCCCAACCTGCTAGCGACGGCTTGATACATAACAAATACGACGATTTGATTTCCGAGCCTGTTGTCCCAAACCTGTGCATGAACATCATATTCAAAAAGAACATGAAGTCATATTTTCAATTCAATATATGAATAAACTCTACAACATAACACTTTTTATTAGTCTTAAGGTGTAATTTTAGTGTTGTGTTAATTAGTTCAAGCTAAGCTTCTTACGAGTACGTACTAATAAATTCTGAAATACCTATATTCCTTTAACCTAAACAGACCAAATAACTTTTAACCTGTTTGTCAAAAATTTGATTTTTTAACTAAGAATGTGGCATACGAGCTGGCGCGGTTCATCTGATGTTAAGTGATAACCGCATTAGCAACACTCGTAGGGTTGCGGATGCGACTTGCAGATGTGTAAAAAAGTAAAGTAAGCAGAGGTATTACCCTACAACTTCTCGCCGATCTTTTGTGAGATCGTGGTACTTTCGTCTGGTAAGCGAGGGAGCCGGAGCCCAATTTTCAAAAGGTTGTCAACGCATCTGCAACCCTCGGGTGTGGCAGATGTCCATATTTAACAATATTTATGATGTACAAATCATTTGAATTGAAGATGACCCAATAATGATAAATAGCCTAATAATCTTAATCCAAAGGTAATCGTCAAAAATGTGTTATATCATCATCATCATCATTTGAGCCTGTTTTCCACTGCTGAACTCTAGCCGTCCCTACAGACCAAGTACGATTCTGAGCCACCTGCATCCATCGGCTTCCCGCGCGTTTACACAGGCCGGTACGAGGCTACCCCTCAAAAACCCTCTTCCCATCGGTTCTATGGAGTATATGGCCGTCCCCTTCACGTTAAGAATTCTGAGCTTTGTCGGTTATATTTGTTCTACTGTAGATATCTACATTGCGAACTCTATCACGCAGAGAAATAATAAGTATAGCCTGCTCCACAGCTGTGCTTCCTCATAAGCCCACATCTCGGTATCACTGTCAACACACATCGATTGAAGACTTCGGTCTTCAAATATTGTGGGATATTAGACGAGAAGATATGCCGAAGTTCCCCGAACGCTGCGCATCGGAGTTCAATTCGCCGGTGGTACATAAATAAGATTAATGAAGAACAAAAGTAAATAATTACCTTTTTTATATCAAGGGTATCCAAACTTGCTATTGGAGTCATAGTTATCCCTCTAACACGAAAAAAGATATGAGACACTCCAGAGAAAATTTGTTCTGCAGTATATGAACCACTCGTTTTTAGCTGATCAGATAAGTATTGATTTACTTCTTCAGCAATTTCCTGAAGCTGTTACAAAATTTCATAACAAAGTTAAGTAAAAGAACTGTTTTAGACAGCCTGCCAAAATTTTTACTACGCTAGTAAAAATATATACTTATACTAATAGCCAAAGTGATCAAAATACATATCTGCACATTGACATATTCTGTTAATATTAAAAAGAATCTAAAAAAAACTATTCTTAAGTTAAATAGAGCCTATTATTATATATTAACTTATCATATGGACGGACCTGCCCATTTGAGCAAGAGCGAAGACTGTTGTGTGGCCCTACCATAGCTCTAGAATGGTTACCTTGTGAGGTATGAGCCACTTCTATAAATTGTACAGACCAAGAAAAATGATGAATGCCTTCACCATCAACGACAAAACTGAAAATCCTCCCTTTCCCCACTCGCTGTATTCTTCCTAGCACTTATTCTAATCGATTTTCCATTTACAGATTCCTTACAGTTATTTGTCCACGCACCTCGCCTAATGCTTCGGTTTCACGTGCTCAACGAAATAAATACGGGTTGCTTGACACATTTGCTACAGTTAACATTACTTTATATGGAGGCACGCCATTGTCGCCATGGACGTGACTTATTTAAAGATTCGCCCGATTCTAACACAAACTTTAATAGGCTTTTAGTATTCTTGTTCTTACTCAAACAATTTTTTTCCAGGTGTCTCAGTATATTTCACAACTTGTGGTCTACTATAAAACAGTCTTTCATGTCTCTCTGATGGTTTTATTTTAATAGCTGCATCTATCTCACTAAGGCAATAAATGAATAATGCTTATAACTCTAAAAATAATATAGTAGTTTAAAAAAAAATTAATAAAAAACACGCTTTTGTAGAGAAACGAACTTAAAGGTAGAAAATAATTTTCAATAAATTTAAATTATGAATACAAAAAAAATATTTGTATAAAAGCGCGGGTTGCTTGGAGTCAGTTGTTATAATATTTTAATGACAGTATTTACAATATACTGGTAAAAGTAGACTCATAATGGAAATATCTTACAAAGCACCCCACGCTTTTTTGCAATTAAAACATTTTTTTTGTTAATCACAATTCATAATTTAAATTTATTGAAAATTATTTTCTACTTTTTAGTTCGGTTATCTACAAGTGTGTTTTTTTTAATATTTTAAATGCCTACTTGGCACAAGGACACAACTGGGTATCGGATTTAGAAAATAGGTAATCCTGAAGGTCCTGATTATGCTAATGGGAAAAACTATTTAAATTATTGTATTATCATAGGACTTTGATGAGTGTGCAAAGTTTGATTCAAATCTGATCTCCACAGTGGGGCGAAATCACGTTTAAAGATTCCGTTACATTCATACATAATTAGAATGTCTTTTTAGAGTCCATCTGTCTAGATGTTTGCATCTAGAGATGACTGATCTCTCCCTTTTTTTTTAATTGAATAATTGTTATTTTGAAATAAAAAATTAAAATGACCTTAAAAACCTATACAGCGTGTCGTTACCAATGCGACAATAAATGAACACACGTAAAGAGGATAACTTTTTAAAATGTATCAAAAATTTACATTCTTTAAACATCAATATTTACAGAGTTATTAAATTTTGCAAAACAAACAACTTTAGAACATCCTTACTTGTAAAACTGTAACGTAAAGTTCATTTGTAAAGTTCACAAAGCAAATGAATGGGTGTAATGAATTCAAAGGAGACAAAACATACTGTTAGAAGGAAAGGCTTGTAATGCAACGCTGATGCAATGAATGAAAAGGTCTCTGAATGTATGAATTAGTCAGTTTTAGTTGTATAGGATGCTACAAATTTTGTTTCTTTTTTACTTAATTAGTTTGTTTGAAAATTTTTTTTAATTATGAATTATTTTTAACGTTTATATTTTTTATGATTATTGGAAAGTAGCGTTAGACGTGTGTTCATTTATTGTCGCGATGGTAAAGACACGCTGTATATAGTACTTATGAATTACTTTTCATTAATGAATCGTAGTTTGAGATAATTTGTTGAATATTAAATATTTATGTTAAATATAAATATTAACATAAATGCTTGGATTGTACATACTTCACTTATTTGTTTTTTGTTTTTACTTTTATGTAGGTAATCTAAAACTTCTGGTTAATTAAGTATATTTTTCTATTCTAAGGAACAAATACAAACCTTTACTAAATCATCCTCAAGATGATGGAAATTCACAGTGTCAAGCCATTGCAAAAAGAAATTAACAACTTTTTCTGGTGGTATTACAGAATTAATCTGTGCATACTTTTCTGTGTTATTTTTTGACCATTTTACAGCCAAATAACAATGTTTAAGATAACGAAGTACACATTTTGCATAATGCATTTCTGTCAGAGTAAAGGGCCTGTAAAATTTAAGTAATTAATAAATTTAAAGAAAATACAATAATGTATAAGTTTTAATTGTAGTCTTCTTACTTGCTACTGTGCAATTCCGTGAGATTATTATCACCTATTGTAATTAACTCTTGCAGTATGTAATTTGTGTAGTAGTAGCTACGCTCATGTTCGGATGCAATAGTAAAAAAATAATCCATGTCGTTTATAGAAAATTCTTCAATTTTCCTAAAAAAAATACACCTGCATCTTGACTTATATTTTAGACTTAATATTTGAGAGAAATTCAATTTTAGTACAGTCAAAAACTATTATTTTTAAATAAATTATAATTATAATAATAGTACAGTTTTTAGGGTTCCGTACGCAAAGGGTAAAACGGGATTATATTACTAAGAATCCGCTGTCTGTCTGTCCGTCTGTCACAAGGCTGTATCTCATAGACTGTGATAGTTAGACAGTTGAAATTTTCACAGACCTTGTATTTCTGTTTCCGCTATAACAACAAATACTAATATAGTACAATTAAAAAATATGAAAAATATACAACAAATATGATTTTTTGCCGTTTTTATACATAATGGTACGGAACCCTTTATGCGTGAGTCCGACTAGCAGTTGGGCAGTTTTTTTCTCTCTTTCTAGTATTTTGTTACCCTTTATGCCAATGACAAGTTAAAGGAAGGAAGCAGTGATTTTGTTGAAATTAATTAATTTCAACAGCAGGCAGTAGTGGAATTTAAAAAAGGAAAATAATTCAGAAGATTTATGATACATATATATATAAACTGACAGTTATAATTTTATAATATGCGCATATCTGATTTTCTTAAATTTACTACATATATGAATTTACTTAAATTTACTATAATTATAGATTTTTTGTATATAATTCATATTTTTTTATACACATAAACAAGAGTTGTTATAAGATAGAAAAAATAGTATATCCATAAGAAAAGATATCCAGAGCAATAGGAGATTAGTAAAAAAGGAGGAATCATAAAATGGGCAAGAAAAGAAATTATGATTTAGATTTCTTTTGTCTGGTCCCCAAACACATAAAGAACTATCTAAAACCTGAATCTTAAGCAAAAGAAGACAGAGAATAGCAACGACCTTATCGCAAACGAATTAAAGATCTGTACCAAGGCCTATTTGGAATTGTTGGTTGAATTGAGGAATAGAATTTTTCATTCATTAAGCTAGTAGATGACCACTAATATTCCCTAGAATCCTTCAAGTAATGTTTTGACAAGGAGATGTACATTGCACGCAATCTCAGAGATCCCCCAGGATCAGGGAGGATTTATAATAAAATAAACCAATTTATTATAATAAAATATACAAAATACCTACCGCGGGAAAGTACACAGTAGATAATTATTTTACTCTTACTACAAAAATTGTACAAAGTAAAAAATTACATAGTAAATGCACGCAGCTTTAGAAGCCATGTTTTGTAAGTTAAAAACAAGTCTTTTTTTCTCATATTAAAAAGTACTACTTATTTGTCTTACCAATAATATTTGGGGGACATTTCTATAAGCTCTCTGTAGATAGTTTGCCTCAGTTTCATAAATCCTTTTAATTCATAAAGCCAATGACCATCATTATACTCTTTAATAACTTCGTAAATGTCTGGTAGGCTGAAAATTAATAGTAAATATTGAATAATTCTACAATTTAATTAGGAGCCGTATATTTTTCAAGTTATTCTTTATGTTACAGTTTAAAATTAAATTATAATACTAACCTGATTTTTAACTTTTCCTTCCAAAGGCTCTCGTTATACTTTATTAGTTCATTAAAGCGCTTACAAGTTGAACCAAAATTGATAATATCATAAATATTAACTTGTCTTAACACCATAAAAATAACTTCATCGGGTAAAGAATATATGGATGATTTGCAATCCATTTTAATGTTGCGCCCTATTTTACCTGAGAAACTAGCATCATCAGAAAAAAAATATTTTGTAATTTCTGAAGCGTTATCAGCCAATACTAAACTAGCAATCAATAATACCTTAAGCATAGTGATGCGCATGCGTATTGCGTTGTACCAAAGAGTTATTAATTGACTCTATCTATTACCGTACCAAGCAATTCTTGACAGCGATTTTCATGAAATTTAGTATGTGCGTGATTCGGGGGCGAAAAATCGACTAGCTAGGTTTCATTTTTAGAAAACCGTACCAAGAAAAAATATTATTCGAATATGACGGTTTCGCCGCAAAAAAAAGTTATAATAGCTCGGTCTATTCGCATCACGTATTTTTTTCACTTTTTTTCTATACCGGATCATATTATTTTTTTTATTTCCAAAATACATGACCAAAAAAAACCGGTCCTCCAGGTACTATATGTCTATCTGTCTAAACAGATATATAAAAGTAATCTCTTAACGTCCTTTAGGGAACGAGCAATTCTTGTATGAGATGCATCGATTCGATGCGATGTTTTGAGAAGGTATTGATTTACTCGATGTATTTTCATAAAACATCGAATCAATTAGAACTAGGTAAAGAATTGATTTTTTTTATTATTACACAAGAATATCCTCATACATAGCCTTCTTTTAATAACCTACAAATTTTTAATAGCCTACAAAAAGCAGCTTTATGTTTTCAGAATTCATATATATTACTTATTTACGGTGGTAGAGCCACGCAGCAGCCTCGGCTGTTGCACGAATAGGCAGGCTCGTCCGGGTAAGTACCACGACCTCACAGAAGACCGGCGTAAAGTGGAAGTATGACAAATACTTTCGCGTTTCGTCTGGTGAGTGAGGTAGCCGGAGCCCAATTTCCAAAACGGTTGTCAACGTATTTGCAAACCCTCGGGTGTAGCAGATGCCTATGGGCGGCGGTATCGTCTGCTCGTTTGGCAACTTTTCACATAAAAAAAAATATATCAGAAAAATATTTAAGTGGGGCTCCCATACAACAAACATAATTTTTTTGCTGCTTATATAGTTGATGGTACGGAACCCTTCGTGCGTGAGTCGTGCGTGTTTTTATAGATAATGGATCACTCAACTGATATCAGATTCACGCACGAAGAGTCCCGTACCTTCGAGCGTGAGTCCGACTTGCACTTGTTTTGTATTGCGAACTATATCATTTGAAGAAATTTTAAACTGTTGAAATAGATCCACTAGTTTATAACGTTAGTATATCTTCTATTTGAGTGAACCGATTAAAATTAAGAAAAGCTTGAAAGTTTCACAGAAGTAATCTTCATACTTTTCATACTCTCACAAACGCCGACAAAATTGATATAGTAGTTGGCTCATTATGGTAACACAGCTTACGGCTGCACTGCTTGAATCATTTTACTTACTCGCATATCTTCCCTTTGAGTGAACCGATTGCGATAAAAACAGCCTATTGTTGCCATAAGTTAAGCTTAAGTAACCAGTGAAAGTAGCAATAAAAATCTAAAGAAGTTTTAAGAACAGACAGAAAGACAGACAAAAAATCCAAAAATGGTTTTCTTGTGTCCATTAACTTTTTCGTGATACCTTATTACATTTTTTCATAGATATACGCAGGGCGCACTAAAAGTTGAAATGAATAAGAATTAAAGACCAAAAATGAATTTATTTTATCTCCCCCTTTAAGCCTCCCTTCTCTTTCTTAAATGCACTTTTTCATACGATTAAACCAATTTTGAAAACATTTATTTGTGCTACTTCTCCGAGATGACCTCATAAACGTATTTTCTTACTCTTTAACAGCCTCATTGATCAACTTGAAATACCCATACGCTTGAAATACCAATCTGGTAAGCATGGCATTGCATGAGTTGACGCGGTCCATTTTTTGAGCCTAGGTCAAATTGTGTGGGATCCACCGCGAGGATAGCTTTGTCACACCCAAATGCATGTGTACGATTGATTGTATTTGACTCATGCCTATATCTAAGGATGCCCGAATCTCACTTTAGTTTAGGTACTTATTTAATAAGTATGCAATGTAAATGAATAAATTTTCTTTCAGTTTAAGACATATATATTTCATTTATATTTCATAGAATTTAATTTATACAAGGTTTATTCTATCGTTTTACGTAACCCTAATGAATGCGCGATACAATCTACTTTGAATTATTTGTCACGCAAGCTGATTGAATCAATATCCAATGGTAAAAATTACACTAATTCAGTTGTATGGAAGTGAGTACGGTTTGTTTGACTGATCCGAGCTTAAACAAAGATTACATCGATGGATAGATTAACCATACTTTGTTACATCTATTAATATTTATTACTAAGACTCTTAATAACTTTCAGATGGCTCTGGTCTACAGTTGTTGCTTTGGGTTTTCCCTGAGATTGGGCGGCATCCTTATTGGAATGTTTTCAATTGTATGTAAAAGCGTTTTGTTTTAAATGACTACCGCCCGGTTTCTGAAACACTGATCATCGTAGAAGTTAACTAATCAGCTGTCAAATGGCTTTTCAAATGTTATTTCAGCTGCCAAAAGGATTTTTAAACTCTCTGAATTGATCAGAATTATCTTCTTAATGATCAGAATGATCAATTCAAAGAGTTTAACAATCCTTTGGCAATTTAAATAAAATTTGAAAAGCCATTTTTTGCTGATTAGTTAACTTCTACGATGATCAATGTTTCAGAAACTGGGCGTAGGATAACTAAAAACTTGATAACTATTTTCGTTCTTTACAGGTGCAGTCTATAATATTGTTGATTTTCTGTTGCTATTGGTATTCTAAGCCGACCACAGTAAAAGACGTCTGTTCAGTTTGGTTAAACGACATAAATCTGATTTACACTAAGCATTTCATTGAAAGTATACAAACAGGTTAAACAAAATCGCAAATAAAATTTTCAGATTTGCCTATTAAATACTATCGATAATTATCGGTATTAAACTCATTTCAGATCCGAAAAAGGGGCTTGGTATCATAATCATGTTAACCTCCATCTATATTGTAATCAGCATCTTATTTGTGTATGGCGCTTATAAGGTACTCTTATCGATTTATGAAAAAAAAAAATCTGTTCCAATAAATACAGTAATTAAAGTACAGCCGTTGATTCTAGATGCTGGTCTGTTGTACTGTGTTGCACGTATTGTCTCGATTGTATTTAGTTCTAAGTAAATGGGAAGGCATAGGCCTGTTAGCGTCCACTCTAACAGGCTTAAATGATGATGATGAAATGGCCCCTTATACCAGCATATTGTACATGTTTGAACATTAATAATCTGGCTTGTTCGATTATTGTGGTACATATTTTTAGATATTTGTATTTATTTTTATATCGTTGATTCCATAGTATAACAAAACACCTCATCTAGTAGAGAAATTATAAGCGGTATCTTGTGTTTTCAGTGATTGAGTAATAAGGGAAGTTATAAATCAGCAGCCTATTTTTGTTAAGTAAAATTGAGGATTACTTTAAATAATTTCATTAATGACCATTATTTATGCCAATGTTTAAAAATATAAAAAAAACTTTTCAGTGCAATAACATAGTTATGACTGTATACATCGTAGTCGAGTTAATTCGACTCATTGGCTTATCCATCTTAGTGACAACATTGTTATTAATGTTAAAACAAAATATTATGGATATTGGTTTACTTATCGGAGCAAGTGTGGTTGGTGGTTTCATTTTATGTAAGTATAGATGTGGATTTGACATTCCGCGCCTAATAGTGTTAGGAAAGTAGTATAATTTACGTATTCGGCACTTCAAATAAAAAAATTCTTGAAAGTAAATATAATCTATGCCATAATCTGCAATGGAGCTGCGTGCCACAAAGAAGGTCGTAACTTAACTCTGAAGTGGGATATATGTATGTATATGTATGGCTATGGGACCTTGAATATAAGAAAATTCTTTGTGATCAAACCGAATGCCAGACCCCACCGTTTTGTTATAGTACCTACGCGTTATCTGTTATTTACATATCTACTTATATTATAGTTGCTCAGCTTTAGATTTCTATTAGTGAATCATTAGTTACCTACTGATCATAAAAAGTCAAATGCTGTACTATATTCTGCTGTACTGTTATTTGTCAGTTATGGAACTAATGTATTGGCCTTGTTCTAGATGTTCAATTTTAAAAACGTCTTTAGAAAGTTGATGATTCTATCTTTATTTCAAATAATAATAATTACGTTTTGCAGTGGGCTCTTTTTACTTATGGGTGTGTACCGCAAATTTGCCGTTAGTCATTATTGAGAAAGAGCGTTCTGAGCAAGAGGTAATAATCGAAAAGTTGCAACAACTTTTAAAGGCAACTAATTCGCGGGCTTTAGCAGGTTTTGGTGATAAACCATTACCGAATCAGAATGATCTATATGGTAAAAATATATATTCACGGTATTGAGAAATAAAACAAGTTTATAGATATACCCATAAACAAGGGATCTAACTTTAATAAAAAATAAAATCAACATTCAAACAACATACAAATTCCGCATTAACACTCGTTGATACATAACCAGTTAACCTGAAGATGACATCGTTGTAATAGGTATAAACATTCGCACATTTTTCATGCGAATATATTAATATATTATGCATTAAAAGAATTTTTCAAAATGATCATTTGATTTCATTTTTTTTAAGTCAGAAGGTGGCAAACGCGCTGGCGGTTCTCCGGATGTTAAGCGATAACCGCCCTCTTGACAACTGCATCACCATACGAATAACACAGAAAAATATAAGTGTATACATAGAACTCATAACACTTCTACTTCTTGCCGGTCTTCTGTGGGGTAGTGGGATACATAGTCGGACGGACCTGCCCATTCAGGATTCGTTTATCACTGAAAACAGTTGCATAGCCGTACCATATTTATTAACAATAATAACTGAGGTGAAGTTAAAGTTAAGTAAAAAAGATAAGACGAGACAAATATGTCACCTCATAGATAAGCATATGTCCAATAAACATGTTTTACAGTGGTAGAGCAATCAACAGTGTATAATATAACAATTCCTGATGCACCGAGGAAATCCAAAGGTGCCTTAAAGTTGCCACCTCGTTGAATAAAAAAAGAAATAG